CTCTGTTTGATGGAAGATTTTTCGTTAGGCAATCTATCACGAGTTCTTGTCAGAGTTGTTTTGGCTATTTGAACGATATATCGATTGCAAATCCTTAACAGGCAGGCAGTGTGAGCGGGATGTGCGTGAGCATGAATGCATGGGCAATGAAGAAAAGAGGTCCGGTTATTGTGTCGATATTCAATCCTCTTGGAACAGTCATTTCCACTATCTTCTCCGTCATCACATTGAAACAATCCATTTGTGTAGGAAGGTAATATTCGTGCAGCTGTAAATCAAAAGGAAAAAATAAAACTTTAAGGCATAACCGAATATATATGATTGATAAAAACTTGTTCGAGTTGTGTAGTCTTGGAGGCATGTGCCTGATGTTCATCGGTCTCTATTGCGTGCTTTGGGCTAAAAGAAAGGAAGGTTTTTCCGTTGCAGGCGAAAGCTCACTGGAAACCGATCCCGACCTCGAGAAGCTTCTATTAGCTTGAATTTTTTAGCTGAGGCCAACTTTATGTACATACAATAGTCAGTGTATATAGTAAATGGTATACATGCAAACTTTGCCTCTGTTAGAAATTAAATGAGGTCTTCACTCTGTAAAAGTTTTGTTTATGTGGAATATATTTGGCAAGAAAGTATAGGTGTCTAACGGTTAGACAACATAACGTGATATACATCGCTCTATACTTCACACCCAATTCAACATACAACATAAAATAGACGACAGCCGTACAAAAGTACATGTGATTTTTTCTTTTTTTTTTTTTCTTTTTTCTTTTTGGATACTCAGATCAAAGATTTGAAACATCTGTACTGCAAAAAAATTAACAAGTCAAAAGTACATACCATTACATTCTCCTTACTCTGCGGGTGACAAACACTATGAAAGTCCACATTACAAGTGAGAGTAAAAACTAAAAAGTGTTGCAACCACAAATCATATAGAAAAAAACTCCACACCACCCAAAGCTACCAAGCCTCCACGTGGCAGCTAAAAACTAGCACGCCCTCTCACTACACTCCCAAATCCCAATATTCTTACAGATCAAGCTCATCAAAAAATGCAATTGAAAAGAAAAATATAAAACCATTACTTGACTCAGTACTACCACACAACATACTCTATATAATGTAACCAATCTGCATCTTAACAAATAACCTCTACACTTCAGTAATGCATTTCACATTGTGTTCAATCTGATAGTTCTGAGAGAATAAAGTTACAAAAAAAAAAGGCACAAAACAAACACAGATTCGAAATGGAAGATCAGAACTGTGAGCAGCAACAGATCACTAAGCACTCGTACTTTCTTCGGGCCAAAGGGCCTCAAGCAAGCCCACTCAATAACGAATTAGTCTCGGATAACGAAGAAGAAGAGGAGGATCTTGCCAACTGCCTCGTCATGCTATCAAACCGCCAGCTGGACGAGAAAGGGCCCGCCTTCCAATGCAAGGCCTGCAAGAAAATATTCACCTCCCACCAGGCGCTGGGCGGCCACCGGGCCAGCCACAAGAAGGTCAAGGGCTGTTTTGCGGCCCGGCCCGAAGTTGCGGAAGATTCGGGCCGGGCCGAAGACGGGCTCATCACTGCGGCCCGGCCCGCAAAGAGGGGGAAGAAGATGCACGAGTGTTCGGTCTGCCGCAGGGTTTTCACCTCTGGGCAGGCCTTGGGAGGGCACAAGAGAAGCCACTGGCTGACGAACTCAGCAGACAATGCTTTCGTCACGAGTTTTCAGTATGATGATGATGATGATGATGACCGCCGTAAGACGGTGTACCTGCATGCACCGGATCGCGAACGCCAGCTGGATATCAACCTCAATCTTCCAGCGGTGCCGGAAAATGAGGGTTTGAAAGGATTGGAGAGGAATAAAGTGAGGAGGCTGAGTGATTTACGAGACGTGAAGTATGGGGAAGGGTGGCTGCAGATGGGGATTGCATCTTCTGCAGAATTTTGATGATATATGTTTCTATTACGTAAAGATTATTTGTTTTAGTTAGACAATGTTTTGGGTCTGTAAATGTATTTAGCGTGAAGAAAGTTAAGAACACGGATGAACGTGGATCAACTTCATATATAATTTTTCACTTATAAATGCCCATCTCTTACAACGATATGGAAGAGATGTTTAAGCCAACTTTATGTATGTTAAGGCAAAATTGAGAGATTGATTTTCACATTAAACGTGTAATGTCGATATACATGAAACATGGCATTGATGCAAATATGCAAATATTGATTGATACATCTTATTATTAGATCTCTCGTACAGTGAATCATTATACGTCATTATGCTTTGCCCAAATTCTAATACTCCCAAACATTGGCAAGTTCCAAATGCTGCTGCTTTTATTAACCAAAATGTATTTGTTACTGTTTCGTTAACAATGTTCCAACTTGTTCACCAATAAATATAGATATGAGCTGTACAATTTTGAGCTACCACTTCATACTGTTCCTCCTTTGAACGATGAGCAAGACAATCTGTATAAAAGGGTACAGTAAGTAAACTAATAAACAACACCGTAAAAAGGAAGAGAGAGAGAGAGAGAGATGGGGCAAAAAAACTAAAGGCGATAAAAATCCAGATCATCTCTCTCCCTGCAGGCAATTTGTAGAGGATTATGGCCGTACGACAAGATATTGCTATATACACCCAACAGAATATTCAAAACTCCACTTCATGTAGTTCGTCTTCAAAACTTCCGCCACTCATTGACGAGTGCCTTAAAGAAGGGTCACTTGGCATAAATGACGAGGGTTGCATGCCCAGAGGTTTTCCTTCAGCCCGCTGTGGAGGACTGAAAGAATCATTCAAGCTTCCACTCCAAGATGCAGTGCGCCGTGAATGTACAGAAAACGAGCCATTGTCAACTGCCCCTTTGTTCGAGATGCTATTCATGCTCGCATATCTTGGCATGTTCACGTTCGATGGAGGAGCTCGAGACTGAAATGAGGATGGGTTATTAGGAGCAGTAGATGGATCTTCGTAAGTGGTAGATAAAGCATTCTGTTCATTAATTGTGGGAGTCTCGACCGGCTGCTCGACATTAGATACTGGTGCTGGCACAAAGAATCTTGGGTTGGGTCCACTTGCCGGTTTAATGGACGAAACAGGTGGCGATTGGAATGAATTCGTTGCATTTCCAACAGTGCCCTTATTGAAGGTATCCACGTACCTACGCCATAAGAATACAGAAAAGATATTATTCAAACATGGTTTGAAGATAGATGATCTAGTAAATTTAACATCATAAATCATTAAAAATGTTTTTATTTTTATTTTTTTTTGTTTGTTTTGAAATATACCTGGACCGAACACCCATCCTTCCACGTGCCGAGTACTGATTGGTCGTTGGGGGAAGTGGTGGCATTCCAGGACTGTTATCTATAGCACTTGGGGTTTCGAATTCAGGACTTCGATTGTTAAAAGAATCTTCATTTCGCATTGCGCTCTTTAAGTTGTATTCTGATGTTCCATTCTGAAAAACCGAAGTTGTCGGTGGTGGTGGAAGAGCTGCTTCTGGTGCTGGAGGTTCAGCACCTTCCTCAACCCATCTCTTGAGTTTCTCGTCATAATAGAACTTATTTGTGTCACCCAGTTTTGCCTAGAAAACAGTAAAACAATTAAAACCCAAGCTAATAAACTCTCATAAACAAATTACAAAGTATCACTGTCAAACACGGAAACTATTCACATTACCTGGCGGCCTTGACGAGGTTTGAGTACCAAACCAACAGTCTTCTGCAACAGCTGAGATCCAAAACCAAACCGGCCAAAGCGAGATGTACTTCCAGCTGAAGCTTTGTCTTGCACACCACCGAAACTTGCATCCTTCAACCCATCAGCCTGACCCTACTTGAATTTAGAATACTCCATTTATCTTTTCAGAAACATACAAAACAAGTAGCAACAAATAGGAGCAAAGAAAACATCTAGCCGAAACAAACCTTCGGACTTATTCCAAAGTTAGGTTCAGAAACACTTCTCGTATGCATAACCATTCTGTTGCTAGTCGTGGTCCACTCACTTATAGGCTCCATTGATTGAGAAGGTGTTAACGAAGACATAGCCATTGTTGACTGACTAGATGATACTCTAGATCCAAACGATTGGTAATTGTTCTCTTTACCATGTACAGCGCCACTTGTGGTTGGTGCAGGTGGTGGCAGGCCCCCAACAACACGATGTGCAGTACTATCGAAGAGGTTGAGCAGTTTACCGATAAATTCCTTCGGGGCTAAATTAGCCGAGAACCCACCCTACATGATGAGTAATTATAGTAAGGGTTACTGGAATCTAGGATTTATGAGGATAAGATAACAAGAAGTTATGGTTACAGGAATCTGGAATTCAACAAGGCAAAGCAACAAAACAGAACAGGAAAATACCTGCTGGTGAGCTTTGATCCTTTCTTCCAGAGATGAGACTAACTGTCTCAACGTCTCAACTTCCGGAGATCGGCCAGTTTTAAGTGATCTTAATACTGCTTGACAGTACCTACATCAAAAGGTTATGCTAAGACAACAATGACAACTTGTACGATTTAATTGTGGTAAAAGAGTAGTACTTCAAAGCCTCGGATAGTCTCCCAACTTCTGCCAACATGTTTGCGTATACAAATTTATATGGTTGGAAAGGGAGTAGCACAGACTGCGAGTTTCCAAGCGTTTTTGAGTACTCATATATCTCCGTCATCTGTGAAAATATGCAAGGGTCAAACACATACATGGGTGCATACCATTTCCCAAATCGAAACAATCATAGCAATCAGACTTTAGAGGCCACCAAGAATAACGATAGGCTTACATAATATTTTTTACAACTATCTACTTGGTGGGTATAGCAACCACTCTCGTGCACGAAGGGAAAGCATTTGTTATAAAATTACTGTGTGTTATTAATCTTGGAGGATTAATATTTAAGATTCCACTCTAATCAATACAGAGAATGTTAAATGGGTACTGCTAAACTCCCAACAAATAGCAAGAGGTAGATAGATTCATAATGAACGAGTGTAAACATTTTAAGTCCGTTACATGTTTTTGAACTATGCTTGTCCTTCAGTTTCCGAAATCATTTAATTATGTAGAATCCCTATCGAAGTGACTGCCCAAAGCCCTAGGAAGTGAATTTGATGGTTTGATAATTATCAGAACGGATGATTGTTGAATAAATTACGATTGGGCCAGACCTGAATGGCTTCTGGACTTGCATATGACCGTGGGAATTTCCAGTGATCTGCACCAATAAGGCACAATCTCGCACTGTCCGAGTATGGCTCAAAACTGGCTTCAGCAACCAAATAGCATATGTGAGCAGCCATCATCTGCGAACCAATCATTTGAGCACTAAGAACTTAAAATTATTGAAATTGAACTATTGAAGGAACTCTCATGAAGAAGAAAACGTATACAAGCACAAGAAAAAGGAGAATAACCAGAACATACATCACTTCTTTCCTTATACAAACAGTCTCCAAGATGAAGTAGCACTAGTTCATCATCCTTAGTCCTATTCGCAGTTATCACTGCCAAATTCTCTTCCCATTCATCCAACATGCCTTTGGCTCCAAACTGGGAAACATTTTAACAAACACAGGACCTCAAGATTAATTGAAGTTGAGATAAACCTATTGTCAATTAATGAAAGCAAAATCAAGGGATATTATTTACACATACATATTTTGACATATACAACACCACATATTCATCAAACCTCTGTTAATAAGTATGAAAGGGTGCACTTTTGCTTACTCAATTGTAACGTACCTGCACTGGTTGCTGAGGCATAGGTACTGCACCAGTCATGCTACTAACTGAGCTATCTGTTGAAAATACATCAGCTGGTTGACCAGCAATTAGCAGGCATAAGGTTCGCAAAGGTGATCCTGCTACCAACTGCTTAAGTGCCATATGTTTCACAGTCTCAGCATAGAACTGCATCAGATATTTACCAAAGCAAAATAAATAAATTAATAAATAAAAGGACACATGACTATCTAATTTAATTTTCTAATAAAACTGATGAGATGAGGCATTCAGAAGTGACTAACTTGATCACCAAGTTGTGCAGCAAGAACAAGGGCAGGACCCCACAACTGACCCTCCTGCGCAAATTGTAAAGCCTCTTGCTTTCTTCCAGAAACCAGAAGTTTTTGAACCTCGGCAGCAGTGGCCTGAGACATGAGTTCATATTTTTTAAGTGATGAATACTTGGCATAAGCAAT